TTGCCTAAGGGTGCGATTCTATTCTTCGACGTTTTATCATCTATTTTTGTTTTAATGAAAAAAATGGCTTTCTCTCGCCAGATGATTCTGCCAAATCAAGACAGGCGCCGTTGCCTCATTTCTTCAGACAGCATTCTCGACCGGTCGTAAGGAATGAACTGACGGTGAACCGAGTAGAAAACCGCTCGTACTTAGAGAAATGGTACATGTAGGGCTAGTTCGAAACTCCCTCTCTGTTTAATTATTTTCATTAATACGGCGATGCTATTCGTACATGAGGGTTTAGTTCGAAAACGTGTTTGATTTGACCAATGCGAATAGAGTGAATAACAACGTTCTTCAGTTTTCGGAGTTGAATTTGCGCGAATACTTTCTGCAGCACAGGAAGAATCATGATCCCATGGTACTTGTCGCGATCCGACCAATTTCCACTTTTAATATGAGTATGATTACGTTCTGTTTCTGGTTTTCAGGGATTTGTGGCTTCTGCCACATGCTCTTGAAAAACAAATGAATCCAACAAATAGTTTTGCCTGAGAATTTCAGAATTTCTGTACTAACCCTCTCGTGCCAGTGGGATTTCGAACTTCGGCAGGGACGAATGGCATCTCAAATTTCGTCTTTCGATGGTGCAGAGCAGTCAAATTTCGGTTGTTGTCGAACTTCAAACTTTATTTCTAGGTCATCCACTAGAGGGCGTCTGCTTTTGAGTTCTTCGAAGTGTTCATCATTTCCGATCGACGGCTGTATGGATCCAGAAGAAGCTTGCTGAACTTGCAGTGAATCAGAAAAGTTAAGAGGCTATGTTTTCCGCCACTTGAAATGTTGTTAGTACGGCGTCTTCCAATTGTACTTCAAAGTCGTTTGTTCCAGCCAGTTTCTGCGTTTCCAGTTCCTTCCAGTGTCTTTACTGACAACGGTAGCGGTGACCTGACGCTATTTCGTCTCTTCAGCGTTCTGTAAGGACTCCTGCTTTGCCGCATTTCTTTTTTGCTGGACTAAGAGTTTCTGAAAGACTCATGTGTGCTTTGTCTTTCGTCAGAAGTCAAGTAAATTGGCTAAGGTATAAATGATTCCATGTCTGATCTGTTGTTACAGAAATGTGGATTCCTGGCAGGTCATTTCGTTGGCAGTAGCGAATCATCGATCATTTCTTGGAACACCGAGCAAGTCTTGGTCTTGGTCCAGCCGGTTTCTGAAACGGTCATTTGGCGATGCCCACTTTAGCAGAAGTAGGCACAAACGAATTCGACGGTCACCAATCAGGAAAACACTGTCAACATTAATCCCTGCTCGGCCCATTACAAACAGAAAGTTGACCTAAACGATTCGACTTTTGCCAGATTTGTTTGTATCATCGTAACTTGATAAGCGTAGCTAATTTCTCTGACGAAATGTACGTGCTAAGCAATTTTGTGGCATGAAGACAACGGAATTTTTCAATTGCACAGAAGAATATTTAATTTTCAAACTTAGCATATACATATTTAACCGCAGTTTATGTTATACACAAAATTAAACTGTATATGACCACGATTGCAGACAAAGACTTCAATAATGTTTTACATCTAACCATTGAAATGTTTTCTTTGGACTGACTGTTTCCGCAGAGTCACACTGCTCTTATAGTATTTAGGAGTCAGTTATTCCACAGTGCTTCCTTTTTAGCGCCTTTTCGGAGACTTAACTCCGCAGACTGAATAAGGTAATGCCTCGATGTTTAGCGCAGTCCTGATAGTCTTCCTTTTTTAACAAAGGCATTACAACCACCCGTTCTCCAGTCTGCTTTTATCTTCCCTGAAGATATTGCAGCAGTTCAACAGACACATGCATATGCCTTCTTCGCCTATTGCTTTAAGCATTACAGGGAGGACTGTGTCAACTACAACAGCTTTTCTGCTTTTCACAGTGTTTGCGATTTCATCTGCAGAAATCGATTCCCAGCTACTCTACAGGTGAGTCTTCCAGTTGCCCTGGGTTAAGGAGATCCTCAAAGCACTCTCCATTGCTTAAGAATGTCCTCATCCTCGATAAGTGAGTGTCTAAGACTATCATTCAATTCTCTTATGTCCCCTTTTTTTCACGTCGGAGCGGGCGGATGGTCTGTCAAAATACATTGTTCGCCTTCTGGAAATTCTACTCCAACACCTCACCGCACTTCTCTCAGTAATCAAATTTCCGTTCCACCACTGCTTTCGCTGCTTTACATGCCACATGCGAGTTGGCGGATCCTTGCTTCCAAGCCAGTTCTTGAATGCAGCGTTCTTCTTACTGACGTCAGATGTATGTACCTCTAGTGTACACTAGGAAGTTCTTTTTTGACTTCAAGGCGGTCGGCCAACCTCCCTGAATCCGCAGCATTCACGTACCACCCCAAGTGAGCCGTTCTTAAAGAGCTGCCACTCGGTTTCCACTTTATTTGTCATCACCAAGCAATTATGTTTGAAAGTTTCCTATCTCATCCACTAAAGATGACGTTTCCCACTTGATTTTCAAGTTGCTCAGCCACCAGGTTGTCGCATGGTACTCCGTCACTCACAACGTGAGATCAAGATTAGCTGATAGTTCTGCGCACCTCTTAACGAGAACATCCATTACAACCCGTCTTAAATAAGATGATTGCAAGATTGCTCGGACCTCAGTATGGATACTTTGATGCTCCCTCACACCGAACACAATCATGCCAGGCCATTTTGCCCTTGGCAGTTAGTGTCCAGTTTCTTCCCGCTATTTCTTCAACGTACATCCGCCACCTCGTCGGA